GGGGTGATGAGGAACAGGCAGAGGCGGTCCAAGGTGCGTGCCACGCGGTTCCAGTTGTCCTTCTCCTGGGGAAGGAGCCAGGAGTAGAGCATGGGGAGCCTAGGGATCCCACTCTGCCCCATCATTCCCCACTGTGCCCATGGTCCCCACCTCATTGTAGCTGTTTTTCTCCCGCATATGCTTGACAATGAAATTGGCCTCATCCAGGGTAGGTTTCAGGTGATCATAGAGCTGCTCCTCGCTTGTGGCTGCTGGTGCAAAGCCTGGGGACGGGATGACCCTGAGCTCCCAAGGACAGCAGCCACCCACCCCATATCCCCACATTCCCACAGGGGGGCTGAGGCTCACGGGCAGGGGTGACACGGCTGGACAGCCCATGCCTCTCTGACTGCTTCTCAAACATCAGCTCGCTGCGGGACTTGACACTGTAGTACTCCTCTGCCTTGGCAATGTACCCGGCCGAGCTGCAGCGTCGGATGCACGGGGCACCTGCTGGGCTCTCAGCTGGGTGTGACATGTGCAGCAAGCGGGGCAGGATCTCCAGGAACACCTGGCATAGGACATGCCACCGTGTCCCCACTTTCTGTCCTCAACTAAGCATACAGCTGCCTGCAGTAGTACAGATCGGACACCCCGGTGCCATGACGCACAGTGGCTGCCCTCCCTTGCCCATCACCCCTTCACCTCTTTGACCCAATCGGACATGATGTGAGTGCTGGGGGTGCGGAAATGGAAGTTGAGGACCACAACGCAGATCACCACCACGGCTGTCACCAACAGCATGATGAACAGAAGGTACCTGTGGGGGTGGAGAACACAGATCTGGGGCTGGTATAGTTGCAGGGGTCTGGGGAGATACAGAGCCATTCTCTGCCACCCTGGGACTGTGAGATGTGCCCCAAAACTCACTTGCCAATGAGGGGGATGGCATGGGAGGTGGCAGGCAGGCGCTGGGAGACCAGCAGTAGGAAGACAGACTGGGCCAGGAGCACCGAGATCACCAGAGTCATCTTCTCACCACCTGGAGAGCAGAGGAAGCCGTCCCATGTCCCCCTTCCCAGTGTCCCACCCTACATTGCTGCATATAGGGCTTTATGCTCTAGGGGTAGCCTAGGGTCCCATTTGGGTTATCCCATGCCCTGCTCAGGGGTGATTGGATGGTGTCCTGCACAAAGTTGTCATAGTGCTGTGTTGGACATTGGGGTATCCACATGTTCCAGGATAGGTATGGGACTTGGGTGTCCCCATGCCCAGTGTAGGTGCCACTCACTGTCAGCAGGCAGGTAGAAGACAAGGATGGCCATGAAGGCAATGAGGACACAGGGTGTGACGATGTTGATGAGGTAGAAGAGTGGCTTGCGCTTGATGATGAGGTAGAAGGTGATGTCCTGGTGCTCGCTGCTCTCAGTGGGGTAGCTGGGGTGGATGTTCTTGCGGGCCGGGCGGTGGATGATTTCCCATTCGCCATTTTCTGTTGGGACACAGAATCACAGAATCACAGAATTGTAGGGGTTGGAAGGGACCTCCAGAGATCATCGAGTCCAACCCCCCTGCCAAAGCAGGTTCCCTACAGTAGGTCGCACAGGTAGGCATCCAGGCAGGTCTTGAACATCTCCAGAGAAGGAGACTCCACCACCTCCCTGGGCAGCCTGTTCCAGTGCTCCGTCACCCTCACCGTAAAGAAGTTCTTGCGCACATTTGTGCGGAACTTCCTATGCTGCAGTTTCCAGCCGTTTCACACACATGGGACAGCATGGGGAATCCTGAGCCCCGTACAGGATGTCCCACCGACCCAGGACTCAGCAAGGAGCACCAGCGCTACCCGTGAAGCCTTCAGGGTCGATGATGATCCACTCCACCCGGTAATACTTTTCGGTCTCCGGGTCACTCTCTTCCTTCAGGTGCATGCTGATCTCCTGTGCATTGTATGCCAGTGAGCTGAAATGTGGTAGGATACAGGCAGTGAGGGTCTGTGCCTACCGCTTTGTCCTCTCTTCCCATCCTCTGGCACAACGACTGGGAACGTGCCAGACCCCACACCTGAATTTGAGGGTGCAGTTCTGCCAATCAAAGGGGAAGAAGTTGACGTTGATGGGGCAGGCGCTGCGGAAGATGGCGGGGGGCAGCCAGTAGACATAGCCGGTGTTGTAGACCAGCACGTTGCAGTAGTAGGCGACTTCGAAGAGCCCATCATTGCTGCATGAGAGAAACTGAGGTGATGGCAAGGGAAGGGAGAGCCCTGGGCACTGAGCACAGCTCTGGCTGAAGATGCTTGCCCAGGGAAATTGGGGAGGTGAACCAAGCTCTGCTCACTTGTTCTCCAGGACTATCTCAGGGAGCCACAGCATCTCTGGCAGCAGGCGGAGCACATCGACACCCCCGAATTCAGATGTGTTCCACTGCAGACGGTAATCAGTCCAGCTCTGGTAGGAGACACGCTTGGGTCACCTCACCATGACCACGCCAATGACACCCCTTGCCCATGGGTTTGGCATGGGGATGACGGTACTGAGAGGGAAGAGGGGTCTGGGCAGGACTTTGTCAGTGATGGCCCCAGTCCCCTCAACCCCTCCTGTCCCTACTCACTTGTTCGACCCATACGTTGGTGGTGAGTGTCTCGTCCACCTCTTTCTGCAATAACGTGGGGGACACTGAGATGCCATGGCCATACCCCCTGACCAAACCAAGACCTTCAACCCAAGGCAGCCCTTGGAGTACAACTGCCCACTGGGGCTCACCAGTGAGATGAGGTTGGAAAGGGTGAGGGCCAGGTAGACATCCACAACCTCATCGGCAGAGGCAACGGGGCGCACCTCCTTGTTGTAGCCTCTCTCCTCAAAGAGGTAATGGATGAGCCGCTCCTCCTGGTTAACACAGAGCCCACCTGGGGGGCTCGAGGTCAGGCAGAGGGGTTGGGCAGAGGCAGACAGAGGGTATGGGTGCACAGCGTGTCAATGCCATGCAAGGACAGGGAGATGGGCACCCAGATGTGGTGCGTGTGCACAGGAATAGAACACTTATGAGGACACATATGCATGCACGGACACAAACACAGGGATATACAAACACATGGATATAGAGACATGTAGGGACAAACTAGTACAAGATGCCAGTGCAGAAGCCATGGCATTGGGCATGGGGGTAGGTGCACACATGGACATAGACTAGGACATATAAGGATACACGTGTGCTCATCTGGGACACAGACACCACCACCCCAGCCCCAACCTCACTGCAGTGACCCAGGAACCCCCAGCATCCTTGTACCCAAACCCCACGGCTCCGCTCACCCGACAGCACCAGTGCCCCAAACAAGGCCAGCAGCACTGCCATGTCCCCCATGCGGTGCCTGCGGTGCCTTCGTGCCGTGCCAGCTCCTCGCCACCTCCCTGCTTGGCCTGCCTGAGCGGATGTCCGGCCACAGAGATGGATGGTGCCAGGTGCTGGGGGGAAGGCTGCCGGCTCCGGATACCCACTCTGGCCCCCCTGCTTCCGGCACCCCCACGCCCAGAGAAGGGAGACAGGCAGGAACAGCTGGGCTCACCACCCCTCAGTGCCATCTTGTCACCTGAGTGCTTGGAGGAGCAGTCCCTTCACTGCTCAGCAGATGCTGCTGGGAGACGTGGAGGTGCTGGCACCTAATCAGTGCCTATGGCACATGTGGTCTGACACTGGTGTGAGTTTTGGTGAGGGTCCTCACTGGGGTGGCACAGGGTGCTGTTCTCTGGGGTGAAGAGTGCTGTGAGTGGTGAGTACACAACCTTCCCCCCCCCCCCCTCCCCCCCAGTGCCAGGGGAAGGACCTGAGGATGGGGGATGTTTCTTGGGGGTGGGAAGTGATGGGAGTAACACGGGTGTCACATCCTGCTGATGCCCACCTCACTGGCACCACTCGGCCCATCACTTGTTTCATCCTCACCAGCTACCAGAAAATAGAGCCTTTCTTTATTGAAAAATAAACCTTTCTCTGTACAAATAAATAAGAGGTGTGCATGGGGAACAGGAGTCATTCCTCATCCCCTGCCAGCACCCCTAGGTTTTCAGAGCCTCAAGTGCCAAGGCCACGAGGCCAGGCATGCTGCGTGCCAGCGAGTCACTCTCCAGCCCCACCAGCCCAGCAAAAGCCGTGGGCCGGCCGCCCACAGTGGCCCGCACCTGCGCCCGGTACAACCCCTTGGTGTTTTTGGAGCTCAGGTCCACCAGGATCTGTAGGAGGAGGAAAACGCTGTTAGCTCCACAGCTGGGGAGATATTGACATGCTGCCAATAGCACTGCTCGCACCTCCTGGAAGGTCATGGCCAGATCTGGCTCTGGCACCTGCAGCACCCAGGCGTAGAGCTCCTGCACCACGCCAACCCGCAGTGCAGAAGCATTGAGGCCGGGGCAAGCTGCAACTGGGGGGAAATAGGAGAGAGATGGAAGGGGGGTGTCAGGGGTTGTGCGGGGGCACCGTGCTGCAGCCAGCCTCAGGCTGGGGTGCAGTGCTGGGGTTGGATTTGTCACCATCCCCATAGCATCACATAGCACAGGTGCTGCAGGGTGCTTACCTCTGCCTGTGCCTGCCTCCTCCCCCTCTTCCTCCAGCCCCGGCACTGTGGGCACCAGCTCTCGTTTCTCTCTGTGCAATGCCCCTGCATGAAAACATAATTGGTGATACTCTCAGTGGGGGCGCTGCCTGGGCATGGAGCTCAGTGCTGGATATCCCCACGCTCCACCAGTCCCATACCTAACCAGCCCCGTACCCTACCAAACCTCCCCCCCAGAGCTCACAGTTCTGCACAAGGTTCCCAACTGGCTCTCCAGTTGGCTCTCTGAGTGCCTGCATGGCCTCCAACGGTGTGTCAAGGTCCATCTCTGCCCGGAGCTGAGTGAGGAAGGCTCTGCCCTGTCCCACCAGCTCCTTCACCAGCTCCTCACCCTGCTACAGGGAAGGGGAGGGGGACAGTGCAGACAGTGGGGCACCCATGGGGTGCTGCAGGGGTATGGTCCCTGCTGGCACCATCATGGGGGCAGTGCTCCACTCAGCCCATTTCTCTGCAAGTACCTGTAAGAAGAGCCATGTCTCCTCAGGGAGCTGCTCCTCATCTGGGGTGGGTGTCAGAGTGCTGCCCCCCACTGTGGCCCTCAGAGCCTGCACCCAGTCCTGCAGCCGCGGCCCCACAGACCCAAAAAACTCCCTGAAGGTGGGCAGCTGCCTGCAAGCACAGGAGGGTGAGCTCAGGTGGGTGCCTGGTGCCACCCATCCCCTGGGCACTGCCACCTCGCATGCACCCCTGGTGGGTCTTGGGAAGAGCAAGACCCTGCTGTTGAATGCAAGAAGCCATATCAGTGCTGACCTCCTCAAAACCTGTCCCCTCTTCTGCCACAACCCATGATGCCCACACATCCCCCTTTACCTGTGGGTTGGTCTCAGGGGTCCCTCAGATGTGGGGTGCTCGACCATCACTGGGTCTGCAGAGACAAGCAGGAGGGACAGGGTGTCAGGCAGTCCAGAGCAGGGTGTTGGTCTTCCAGCCATCAGCACAGGGGTGGCACATCCCCAAAGGGAGGCACAGCCCATGGGGGTACCTGGGGCATCTCTACGGATGCGGACAGGGAAGAGATGACCATAGATCTTGCCCAGGAGCTGGGGCAGGGTGCGGGTGAGGAAAGAGAAGTCAAGCTGGTTTCGGATGAAATCCCCAGCCCGGCGCAGGAGACCCACCAGGGTCTGGGCGTAGGAATGCAGCTCTGTGGGTTCAGCAAGAGAGCTGTGTCCCCAGCCCCATGCCAACCCAGTTCAGTCCCCCAACCCCGTGCTATCACTTCATCTCACCGCATCGCCTCATCCGGGCACGGCACGTCTCATTGGCAAGGTGGGTGCAGCTGGCTTGGCCTGGGGCAGCCCGGCAGGACCCCGCATAGAAGGAGCAGAGACGGGTGTGCTCGAGGGGCTGCTGCTCAGGGGGCAGCTGGGACAGGGCCAGCAGGTCAAAGCAGCTTGGCTCCCAGCTGCCAGGAACAGCTGCATGGGCACAGTGCTGCTGTGAGATGCGGAGCCCCCTGGGATGTCACCCCGTGCCCCACACTGGCACTCACAGTCCATCTGCAGGCTGAGCCAGTCGGCAAAGGCAGCCACGCGAGTGTAGACACCTGGCTTACCCCGCTCACCACAGCCATCACCCCACGAGGTGATGCCATACAGGACAAAGCGGTACGAGGAGGGGTCCTGACACACCAGTGGACCACCCGAGTCACCCTGGGGGGGGGACAGCTTCACATCAGGCCAAGCAGGACAGGCTGTGTGCTCACCCCATGCCCAGGGCACTGCCATGTTGTGGGTTGGCATTACCTGGCAGGAATCGATGCCCCCAGACAGATATCCAGCACAGAACATGGCGCTGGTGAGCAGCTCTCTGCCCAGAGCTGCCCGACACGTCTCCTGGCTGAGCAGGGGCACCTGTGCCTCCATCACCACCTCGGCCGACGGCCCCTCTGCCAGGCAAGGTGCCCATTACAGGGTATCCCATGCTTGGAATGCCCACCTTTGGCTTGGTGGCTCAGCACCGAGCGCAGACCCCATGGGTGCTGGTTGGCACCTACCTTCATACAGGGACCCCCAGCCCACAATGTGACAGGGGGTGCCGGGGCTGGGCTCAGTGGTACCGCTGGGCAGGCACACGGGGCTCACGGTGCCTGATGGTGCCAGTGGCTCTGCCAGCTCCAGCAGCGCCAAGTCCCCATGAAACGTCTTGGGATTGAACTGAGGGAGATGAAGGGAGTGTAAGTGAGGAGTTATGGGGAGCGTAGGAATGATCTGGAAGGGCCCACCTCTACCAACCTTGGGGTGAGGCACGATGCGTCGCACAGGCACTGCCCGCTCCCCAGGGTCCGCCTTGCCCAGCTCGTGGTCACCCACCACCACCGTCCATGCCAGCTCGTTCTGGTTCCTGGCACAAGGATGGAGAGCAGCGATTTAGGCTGGGGAGACAGCAGCGCCGCCCCACACCCCCATCCCCACACCATACCCGTTGAAGCAGTGGGCAGCAGTGAGGGCCCACGTGTGGCTCACCAACACCCCACCGCACACCAGCTCCCCGTGCAGCCGCACCGACACCAGCCATGGCCAAGCCCCGCGCCGGGCCACGCTGCCGCCCATGATGCGTCCTCGTGGGGCTGTGCTGTTGGTGGAGGGGTCCGCCCGGCTCCCGCAGCGCTCTGAGGGGATAAAGCTGTGAGGAGTGTGGCTGTGGAGGGAGGGGGCAGCGGGGGTAGGATGCGCTGTCACGCCTCATCGTGCTCACGGAGGCGAGCGGGCGGTGGGCCGGGGGCACCCTGCGGGCCGGCAGCTGCCGACGCTAACCTCTGCCCCCGGCACAGCGTGGGGCTGGGGGCTGTGGGGGTGGCGGGGGCTGCTGTCCCCGGCTCACCTGGCATCGTTGCTGCTATGCTGGGATCTGGGGCTGCCTTCGCCAGCACTGTGGAATGAGTTGGTGTGGTGGGTGGGGGCCATGTGTCCGCTGCCCTCAGTGTCGCACGATGTCCTTGTTGTCCCCAATGGCTCTGTGTCCCCAGTCTGTACCCCCAGTGTCCTGTCCCATTCCATATCCTCCACCCTTCAGTGTGTCTGTGCCCTCAATCTCTCCATTCCACCCCATATCGCCCTGTTCCACTTTGATCCCTCTGTGATCCTTCCAGTGCTCCATCCCACTTCTGAACTCTCATTTCTCATCCCACCTCCTCCCCTGTATCATCTCCAATGCCCCATCCCCATTTCCCCATCCCTCCCAAAACCTCCATCCCACAGATCTCATCTGGACCCCAGATCCCTCCTTCATCCCCAGCTCTTTTCCTCCTAATCCCACTCATGTTCCCAATCACCCCTCAATGCCTCCACTCCCATTTTCCCATCCTAATGCTTCCAGCTCACAAATCTCACTCCACATTCCTCTTTCATTCCCAGTTCTTCTTTCCCTCATTTCACCACACAATACTCCATCCTCCAACCTCCCTCTCCCCTCTCACCCCATCACCCCCCCCCAGCCTCCCCCTCCCATCCCATCCCACCCTCACTGCCCAATATGCCCTCCAGGCAATCTGATGCCTCATTTGTTATTGTAGGGTCTCCCCTTTCCAGGAGATGCCCACTCACGGCACTCCTGGAGGCGGTGCTGGCAGCGCTGGGCACTGAGCAGGGTGCAGGCAGGCTGAGTGCCCTGGGGGGGGCACAGGCGCAGGTAGGAGGCACACGCCTGGCTCAGAGCCCAGTGGCGTTGGGGCAGTTCGGGCAGATCCTGGGCATCCAGCAGGGCCTGGCAGCTGGGGGGCACGGCAGGGGGCATGGCAGGGGCTGTGGGGACAGTGAGGTTGTGGGCATCCTCACGTCCTCATTGCCCCCTGCCCACCCCTGCCTGGGTCATCCCAGGGTGGGTGGGGATGAGGCATGGTGGGGCTGTTGCGTTTTGGTAGGGTCTCCTGAGTGGGGTAGGATCTCAGGGTATGTTCTGGGGGAGTATTTGGGTTGGGAAGAAAGGGTCTGGCAGTGTTTCGGGTAGGGCTTCAGTTTGGGTAGGATCTCAAGAGGATGGGGATCTGCTTGGGTAGGGTTTCCGGGCAGTGTTTCAGTAGGGTCTCTAGCAGAAAGGGCACTGTTTTGGTAAAGCCTATAGGGGTGGCAGCTATGGGGGATATTGTCTGGGTAGGATCTATAAGGGATGGGGTAGGGCTGCGGGGAGATGAGACTCACGTGGGCAGCTTCGGGTGATGTTGGCACAGGGAGGGAAGAGGCAGGGAGCACAGAGCCCACAGGCACCCCGTTGCTTCTGCTGCTCAGCCAGTGCCTGCTCCAGTGCCAGCAGCGCGCTCCTCAGTGCTGCTTCCAACACCAGCGTCCCCCGGCTCGACAGTGCTGCAGGGGGCTCACTCAGAACACTGTGACGCCCTCCCCCCCCCCCAAAGCCCCCAGCCTACCACCCATGCCCCAGTATCTCCATGACAGGCATTAAGTGGGCAAAGGCTCTGGCAGTCCCATTGGCTTTGCTTGGGGTGATGTCACCTCCCCATGGGGTTGGCACATGGGTGGGTGGAGGTGGCATGGATGTGATGGGGAGCTGAGCATCCTCTTTGTGCCACCCCCTAAAATAAAATAAAAGAATAATCCCAGCTCCTACAGCTCCCCCCTAAAAACCCTGCCCAAATGATGCCCCATGCCCACCGCTGGCACTGACCTTGCAGGACGCTAGCTGGCATGGGGTACAGCCCCTGGCCCATGGGAGCACCCCCAGCCAGCTGTAGGAGCAGCAGCATCACAGGGGAGGACAGGTGGACCATGGGGACAGCAACCCACATCCTCTTCCCTCCTTGCTCGATCCCAGCCAGGCAAAGGTTTTAGGGTGTGAGCCCTAAAGTGCCCGAGGCGGGCGAGGAGGCGCGGATATATACAGTGCCCCCCGGGTGGTGGGAGGAGAGAGGGGCCAGGGGAGCACAAACAGGCGAGTTCATTAATGTCGCGCCAAGATGCCAGCCCAGAGGGGGGGTCCGGGCTTGGGGACGCAGCTCGGGGCCTCAATGCTGCCTTTGTTCGACGGGGCCTCTGGGCGGGCAGCATCAGACGGGCGCTGCGCTCCGGCGCTGCCCGCGGCCCTTGATCATTTTCACGCCAATCTCGGCCCCGCCACCCTCCTTCCTCCCCAACGGTGCCCCCCGAACTCGGCCCCGGGCCCCGGGGAAGGGGCAGCTGGGAGCGAGGAAGAGGAGGGGGGGGGGTTCCACGGGCGGGTGGGAACGCGACGGCATTGGCGGCGGTGGCGGGTGCTTCAAAGGTGGTTGGCGGGCACCGAGATGAGGAGATGGGGGGCCCATGGAGCTGGGGGTGGCTTTGTGTCCCCGCAGCCCACGATGCCGGACAGACCCTTCCCCCCAGTGCCCGCAGCCCCAAGCTTTTGGAGGTGCCTCCTTTGCCACCCTCCCCATGTTCCACGGCCATATCACCCACTTGGGGTGCCTGTGTCCCCAAACCCACTGGGGTCTGGCAATACTAACATCCCTATCTCTGCCCACGTCTCTCTCTCGGTCCCCATTAGAGGAAGGGGTGTCCATGTTCCTGTGCCCCTATCCCCATTAGAAGAAGGGGTGCCCACGTCCCCATGCCCACTTAGGGGTGCCCGCAACTCATTCCCATCCCCATTAAGGACAGGGGTGCCCCCGTGCCCACAGCCGTGTTGCACTTCCCTCCCACCCCCATCCTCCACCCCCGGTCCTAATTGTGCCAGCGGGGCGCTGACAATGCCGCTTCAGTGGCACATCAAAGGAGCGGCACTGGCGGCGTGCGAGGGCACCGCTGGCACCGGGACAGCCCCACGTGAAAGCTCCCACCTCGGCCCCCCTCTCTGCCTGCCTGGCATGGGGACACCGAAAGGACACGCTCCGGGGGGACACAGTGTCACCCCACCACTGGGAGCGTCCCCACCCCCCATCCTGCACGGCCATGCCCGTATTGTCCCCATTCGCCCTGGGTGATGTGAGGTCATGCAACGGGGTCAGCATTTGGTATCCACAGAGGTGCTGCTCACCGGTCCCACGGCACCACTGTGCCCCCCCGCTCTCCTCCCCCCCCCAGCCTCGGTGCCGGTGCCAACCCCATTAACCTAATTGGCGCAGGCAGTGGCAGTGGGACCCCAGAGCGGGTGGGACGTTGCCCCCGAGGCCCCCAATTGTCCGATAATTGGCGTGAGCAGCCGAGCCCGGCCGCCACCATGGCGACATGCCCTGGCCGGGGGGGGGGGACACCGCGGGACATCCTCTGGGGTGCCCACCTGGATGTGGGGGTGGCGATGATGGGGGGTCCTTTGTGGGCTGGCAAGGTGGTGGGAGACGAAGGGTCAGTCCAGGGTGTGTAGTCCGGGGGCTGGAGGGGGGCAGCTGCGGGGTGACTGCGGGTCTAAAGGGGGGTATTTGGGGCTGGAGGGTCGCCTTCGGGACTGGGGCAAAGCCAGCAGCAAAAGCCTGGCGCGGAATGGGGGCGTGGTCACGTCAGGGGGGGCGTGGCCAGTGATGGGATGCACAGGGGCGTGGTTTAATGGGAGTTCGGTGGGCGTGGTCAACAAGGGGGCGTGGCCAGGAAGAGGGCGGGGCGGCGGGCGGGGCGCGGGGGTCGGTGCAGGGGCGGCGGGCGGGGCGGCGCGGCCCGGGCCGGGGAGCGGGCGCGTTTGGGTCCGCTGCGGGCCTGGTGCAGCCGGGCCGGGTTAGGTTAGGGGCCATGGCGAGCTCGGAGCGCAGCGCGCTGCTCACCTACCGCCTGTGCGGCGGTTCCGGCGAAGACGAGCGGGGTCGGGAACGTGGCCGGGCCGCCGCCGCCGCCACCCCCCGCAAGCTGCCCACGTTCCTGGGCGTCGTGGTGCCCACGCTGCTTTCTATGTTCAGCGTCGTCCTCTTCCTGCGCCTCGGTGAGTATCTCCTGGACTCCCCGGTCCCGGGTCCTCCTTGGGCATCCCCTCTCTGCAGCCTCAGTGCCCACCCCGAGCTCCCCCTGCTGCGGACCCTTTGCTCCCCCTGGTCTGGGTCCCAGTGCCGCCCTGTGCTCCCCACTTAGCTCCCTATGTCTTCCCAGTGCCCTCCCATGAGCATCCCAGTCTGGAATCTCAGTGCTCTCCTCCAGGCCTCCTGTTTAGGGGCTCCCAGCACCTTCTGCATCCTCCAACCCCAAGCTGAAGTTCCTGTACTCCATCTAGGTCTCTCCCAGTCTGGAGTCCCAGTGCTTTATGCTCCTCAACCACACACCCCTTCAGTCTCAGGGCTCCAGTGGTACCCTCAGGGCAGGAACCCAGCACCCCTAATCTGAAGGCCCCTGTCCCTGGGACAGGATCCCTCTGCCCCCCCAAATCCCTTCTGTAAGTCAGATCCCAATGCCTTTGTGTCCCCACACGCCACAGTACCGGGATCCCACTGCTCTGAGCATCCCTCAGTGCTGCACCCCAGTGCCCTCTGTGTTCCCTATGGTGTTCCCAGGGCTGCACCCATCTGTCATGCCCCAGAATTGGACCTCTCTCCCACACTGTTGGGAAGACACACATTGGCTGCCAGTGTGGTCCCAGTTTGAGCTATAACCCTGGTACTGGGCAGTATGGAGGACCTTGGAGGGGCATGCAGGCTGGGCCCAAACAGGGGCAGGCAGCAGCCCTTTGGAGGTACCCCGGTGTTGGGATGCCCTGGTCCATCTCAGGCAGAGGCCCAAACAGGAGCAGGGGAGGCCTTTCTTCTTTTGCTTTCTGCCTGTGGAAAGCCTTGGGCGGGAGTTGGCTGTTTGCCAGGGGGCCTGGAGGGGGCCCTGAGCCACTTCCTGTGGCTATGGGATATCCCAGCTGTGAGATGGGAGGCACAGCCCCATCCCTCATCCTTTCCCACCCCACAAGCTTTGCCCTCTAAGGCACTTCCAGCCCCACACTGAGCCCAGACCCTCACAGGAGTGGTGTTACCTATGGGAAGGGCATAGGGGAAGTTGGGGTTGGTGGGAGGGGAGCTGCCAGGAAGAGGAACTCCCACTTCGGGGGGGTCCAGGCAGCTGCCCTCCCCCTTTCCTGCACGAATCAAACATACCTCTGTGTCTCCATGACCTGGAGACCCCCAGCCCCTCCTGGCTGCACCCACTTTGTTCTCTTGTCACCTCTTATCTCTACCCCCAGCTTTTAATACTGGAATGGAGGGAGAAAACCCAGGAGGGCTCCCTGCTGCTCCCCCCACTTCCCCAAGCCCTCCCCTTGGCATCTCTGTGGCCAATCTCGTGGCTGAGATAGGGCATCTCCCTCTGCTGCTGTGGGCAACCCCTTCCTGCCCACAGTCCCTCTCACTGTCTGCAGCCTAACCGTGCCTTGGGCAGGGACTTGCGGGAGTCCAAGTGTCCCACTGAACCCCCAGGGGCTGCTGGAGCTGGGCTTGGTGCCTGGCTGACAGGGACACCCTCCCTGGGCTGCTTTTGCTTCCTGGTTTGCAGTGGGCCACCCTGCTGTCTCCTCCCTCCCTGTTTGTTTGCTCTCTGGGTGTGTGGCTCTGTGGACACAGCAGGAGGATGCCCTGAGGCTGGGGGCAGTGGCTGGGCTGGCATGCATGGGGATACATGTTCTGTGGGGGTTGTTCACGACCAGTTAACTGTAGGTTGACCTTGGCAGGGTTCGTGGTGGGCCATGCTGGCTTGTACCAAGCTCTGGCCATGTTTGCGGTGGCCTACTTCATCATTGGCATGACAGTGCTGTCGGTGTGTGCCATTGCCACCAATGGTGCACTGGATGCTGGAGGAGCCTATTGTATCCTTTGCTATGTGCAGGAAATCCTGGGGGGGTGCTCAGTGGCACCTGGGTGCCACAATGGGGCCGTGGGTGTGATGGGCATTAGTTTGGGTTGCTGACACATTCCCTTGACTCCACCAAGACATGATCAGTCGTGCCCTGGGCCCGGAGTTTGGGGGCAGCATTGGGATCATGTTTTTCCTGGCCAACGTGTGTGGCAGTGCCCTCTACGTGCTGGGGCTGGTGGAGGCGGTGGTGGACAGCTTCGGGATCCCGCCAGGTAAGTTACCCCACAGCAGGGGATGTCGGGCATCCCTTCCCCAAGCAGCCCTAGCACTGTGCCTAGCACTGTGCCTGGCATAGCTTGGCCAACCCCTGGTGCCTGCACTGAGCCCTACTGATCCCCGTGTGTCTCTGCCCAGGGCAGAAAGTGGGTTCAGGCATCCACGTCCTCCCCCAGAGCTATTGGTATGAGTTGCTCTACGGCACCATCCTGCTGGCCCTGTGTCTCATCGTGTGCCTGGTGGGTGCCTCCATCTATGCCAAAGCCACCTTCCTCATCTTCCTCATCGTGGCGGGTGTGCTGGGCACCATCCTTGTCAGCTTCTTCGCCACGCGGCCCCTCGGTGTGCCCATCCGCATGCCGCACCTCAACAGCTCGGAGACTGAGAACGGCAGCTTCACTGGCTTCTCGCTTGCCACTCTGCGAGAAAACCTGGGCGGTGAGGACACTGAGGGCTTCCCATGGTCCCCATCGTAGTCTTATACCTGCTGGGATGGGGAGGGGTGGCACCTGCCTCTGCATCAGCATGGGCTCAATGGAGGGTATGGGGAGCTGGTGAGCTCGTGGGGTGGTTTGTCCCATAGTGGTCCTCCTTTGGGGACAGGGGTGTTAAGGAGAGGGCACGTGGCAGATCTGTGCCACCCCAAGCAGCCCGTCACAGCCTGTGCCTCTGTGTCCTGCAGGTGGGTATGGAGTGGACTACACCACGGGGCAGATGATGAGTTTCAGCACTGTTTTCGCAGTGATGTTCAATGGCTGCACCGGCATCATGGCAGGCTCCAACATGTCAGGTAGGGAGCAGGGTGGCACTGGGATGGAGCTGGATGGTGCAGGGAGTGCTGCACCTACAGGCTGGTTACACTGCAGGGGACCTGAAGCGCCCGAGCTACTCCATCCCGCGGGGCACCATCTCTGCTGTGCTCTTCACCTACCTCGTCTACAACCTGCTGGCTTTCCTCATGTGTGCCACCTGCAACAGGTACAGCCACCGTTCCTTTCTGGAGTTACTGGTGTTGACATGAGCCAAGGTGAGTGCCACCGTGTGTGTGTCCCTCTCCAGGACCCTCCTGCAGAAAGATTACGGCTTCCTGCGTGACATCAGTATCTTCCCACCTCTGGTGACGGTGGGCATCTATGCTGCCACGCTCTCTGCAGCCATGAGCAACCTCATCGGGGCGTCCCGCATCCTCTATGCTCTGGCACGGGATGATCTCTTTGGTGAGTGCCTGGAGTGTGCTGGCATCAGCCTGAATCCAAATGGTGCCAGGGCTGTTCCCACAAAATGGACTCCCCTTGTGGTTGGGGGGATGATGCTTTGTGAATCTGTGTGGACTTGGGGTGTTGAGGCTCCTTTTCTGTTCTACCCAGCAGTACCCGCTCCAACCTGGGGTTGGCAGTGCCCCTGCAGATGATGTGGGGTCTATAGAGCATACCGTAGTTCTGCCAGGTTAGGGACGTGCCTGCACACCAGTCTGCCTGTAGGGATGCCAACACTTGAGTCCCCCCTGTGCCCTGGCACTTGCCCCAACCCCAGCACTCAGGATGGAGGCAGGGCTCATTGCCAAACTAGTTGGTGGCCTTTGGGCTGCCTCCTGCCTTGTGCCTGTCCAACCTGCCTGTTCTGCCTGCAGGCCGGGCGCTGGCGCTTGCCAAGAAGACATCTGCAAGCGGGAACCCCATCATGGCCGTCATCCTCTCCTGGCTGGTGGTGCAGGTGAGTTTGCTGGTGATGCTCCTGTCCCTGGGCTTTGTGCCCATGTTGTGTGTCCCTTTATGGGACTTCCCTGATTTGTTTACTTGCTGTGATCTGTGTGCTCTGCCTGCAGCTGGTGCTCTTCTCTGGGAAGCTCAACACCATTGCAGGGGTTGTCACTACCTTCTTTCTTTTGGTTTATGCCACTGTCAACCTGGCCTGCCTGGCACTGGAGTGGGCATCGGCCCCCAACTTCAGGTATCTGCTGCCTGCTCTGGAATGGACTGTCCACCCACTTGTCTGTCCATCTATCTGCCATCTGTCCATCCTCTGACCACCTTGAGCATTAGGAGGGCAGAGACCACTCAGGAAGCAGAAGGGGACAATCCCCTCGCCCTGGCACTGTGCTACTGAGCGGGCACAGATAAATGCAGCACCATTGGGTCCCCTCTCTGTAGGCTTTCCAGAGGTAATTTATAGGCTGTGCCGCCCGGCATCCCCCGGGCAGCTTGCCAAGCAGTGATGGAGCCCACTTTCCATTAGCGCTAATTAAACTAACAAGGAAAGGGGGAGGATGGGGGATCCTGTCTAAGGGGGGAGGATAAGATCTTCCAGGAAGGACAGTGTGTGACAGGCAGCTGCGCCGTGGGGCGGTGGGTGTGGGGCTGCCCTAAGCTGGGGGGAGCAAGGCAGGGTGGTTGGGGGACCTGGGTTGGGTACAGCCACCCCCCAGCTCGGCCCACGTTCCCCCTCCCTGTGTCTGAGGATGTGGGGCACAGACGGGCATGGACTGGTGCCTGTGGGGAGGCTGTGGAACTGGGTGGCAAAGGATCCCTTGCTCATCTCACGCTTCAGTGCTCCCCCCCCCCTCCCCATTGAGGTCTCCCATCAAGTGCAGCGGAAAAGGATTTTAATTACCTTTCAGCAAAAACAACAATTAGAGAAAATAACAGCATCTCGCCTTCCCGCCTCCGCCTCCCTGTGCTGGGATGAGTGGGTGCTGTATTCATTTGTTAGTGCTGCTGTGTGCCCCCCAGCTCTGCCCACCCTCAGGCCATCCCTGCTGCTTCAGGTCATCCCTGTTTGCCAGGGGCAGGCGGTGTGGGTCTGCCCAGTACCCTGTGTGGTGCCATCTCCCCTCCATTTGTGAAATATATGCCTTACAACAGAGGAGTGCCCTGTCCCTGGCACTCCTTTTGATGTCCCTTTCTTCCTACTCCAGGCCCACCTTTCGCTACTTTACCTGGCACACGTGCCTGCTGGGCATTGCCGGCTGCTGCGTCATGATGTTCCTCATCAGCCCCGTGTCAGCATCTGCAAGCCTGGGCTTCCTCCTCATCCTCCTCCTTGCCCTCCACTACCTCTCACCCAGCAGCACCTGGGGCTATATCAGCCAGGCTCTCATATTCCACCAGGTGAGTCCTGTTCTTCTCACCCATTGTGGGCTGGAGAGCTGATGTCCCTGGGGCTGGCATCCCTCTGGCAGTCCTGTCCCAGCTGCATGTCCTCAGGGCTGGCATCCCCGTGGGATGGCACATTGAAGGAATCCTTAGCTGCCTCCTTCCCTGCCCCCAGGTGCGGAAGTACCTGCTGATGCTGGATGTGCGGAAGGACCATGTCAAGTTCTGGCGCCCGCAGATGCTGCTGATGGTGCAGAACCCACGGGGCAGCGCCCGCCTCATTGACTTTGTCAACGACCTCAAAAAGAGTGGCCTTTATGTCCTGGGCCACGTGGAGCTACAAGACTTGGGTGAGGATCTGCCCTGTCCCAGCACTGGTGGCCTCTATCCCTTTCTGTGATGCTGTGGCCCTCAGCATTGCTCCTTGGCTGGGGTGACACCACCCCCCAGCTGGGCATGTTGGATCCAGGGAGGGAGATAACAGCATTTTGGACATATCCACAGCTTGGCGTAATGTAAGGGATGTAGGTGACTTATCTCTGTCCCATAATTTGTGTGCACACGTGTATCCTACTCACGTCTTTGCACATCTACATGGAGCTCCTGCGTGTTGGTACAGGCACGCAACCATGGCATGTGCCACCCCAACTCCACTGGTCTTATGCACACCCAGCAAGTGTGGGCATTTTGTGCACTCTTGGCACAGCCTTGCACACCTGTGTTCCTGTGTCCATCCACATGGTTCAGATGTGTTTCCACGTTCATTTGCACATGTGCTCCTTCACACGTGCTCACCCTGCCATGGCCATCCCCACCCCCAGCGGATGCTTGGGCTCTGCTCCCCCCCTCCCCACTCCTGTCACTGTTGCCGTGGTGACTAATGGCCTGAAATTGGGGAGGGGGATGGGGCTAAGTATTTTTTATATATTTATGTATAATTTCATATCTCTGGATGGAAGCACCTGCTTATGCCTTCCTTATGCTCATGTGTGCTGAGGTGATGGGGCTGCTCAGGGGGAAGATGGTGCTAGGAGTGCTCAGTGCCATGCTGGGGAGCTGTGAAGACATCAGAGAGACCCTAAGCACAGGGAACCCCGTGACTCATGCTGTCCTTGTCCTCCCACCCAGACACACTGCCCTCAGACCCACTGCAGCCCCAGCAGGACTCGTGGCTGAGCTTGGTGGACAAGCTCAATGTCAAAGCCTTCATCAGCCTCACCCTCGCGCCCTCGGTGCGGCACGGCGTCCGGCAGCTCCTCTTCACCTCTGGCCTTGGTGAGTGTCACTGGGCTGGGCACTGATGGGAGTCCACCCTGCCTTCTCTGCAGAGTGAGCGGTGCTGAGGGCTGTGGAGACACTCCCCCAAAGCCAGGTTGGAGATTGGAGGCACCTTTGTGCGTGCAGTGCAAAAGCCAAGCTGGGACTTGCAGACATAGGTGGGTGATGTCCACACCAGGTGTTTTTAACGCACTTGGCAATGGCAAAGTTAGGTTGGGTCATACAGGTATCTAGGCTGGGTCATACTGAAGGGTTTGGAGGCACTTGGATGGGCAATACCAAAGCCAAACTGAGTCTTGGAGGCATCTAGGATGGGTCATGCTGCGGGGTTTGAAGGCACCTGGATGGGCAGTACCAAAGTAACTGCTGTGGGCTAGGGTGGGTCTTGGTGGTACCTGGATGAGCAGTGTCAAAGCCTAGCTGGGGCTTGGGGCTACCTGAGTGGCCGGTAGGGTCCTATCCTTCGCTCCTACCCCACACCTTTGTGGTCTTTCCTCAGGCGGCATGCGCCCCAACACGCTGGTGCTGGGCTTCTATGATGACGCGGCACCGCAGGACAGCCTGGCCCAGCACCCTGCCTTCACCAGCACCCGTGAGGAGCTGCCCTTGGGCTTCCCCCCGCTGCGGGCCGCTGCCGCCCCCAAGCTGCTGTCTCCACGCGAGTATGTCGGCATCGTGGCTGACGCCCTGAAGATGCTCCGCAACGTCCTGCTGGTCCGACACCTGGAGAGCCTGGACAAGGTGTGGGAGCTGCGCCGGGCCGCCAGCCCTCCGCCTTCCATCCACGTTTGGCCCGTCAACCTGCTGCGGCCCGACAGCGCCCGCTACGCCGACACGTGCAGCCTCTTCCTGCTGCAGATGGCCTGCGTGCTCAACATGGCGCGGGCCTGGCGCCGGGCCCGCCTGCGCCTCTTCCTGTGCGTGGAGGCGGGCGCCATGCCCCACGCGCAGGAGGACAAGCTGCGCCAGCTCCTCAAGGACCTGCGCATCCAGGCCCAGATCCAGCTGGTGCCATGGGATGGGGTGGTCCGCCTGCACTGGCAGGCTCCACGGGGACCCCCAGGTGGCCCGGCGCCCGCTGAGCAGGAAGAGGCGGCGGTGAACTTCCCCCCCAACACCACCCAAGTGTCGGATGAATACGTCTGTGCCGCCAACAAGATGGTGCTGGAGCAGGGCCCGGCGCCTGCTGTCCGCTTCCTCTATCTGCCACGGCCCCCGGCTGACACTGGGCTGTACCCGCTGTACCTGCGGCAGCTGGAGCTGCTCACCCGCGACCTTGGCCCTACTGTGCTGGTGCACGGGGTGAGCGCTGTCACCAGCACCCAGCTGTAGGATTGTCCCCGTGTCCCCAACCCTCCTGCAGTCAGTGCCTTACAGCTCCGGGCTGGGTACGGCTTAGGGGGAGCTGGCCCCTGCCGTGATTTCCATTTGCAGGCCTTGTTCTAGGGGCTGTGCTGGAAGGAGAGTAGGGGGTTTTGGTTTTGGGGGGGAGGCACAGCATTTAAAGCTGCCCTGGCAGGATCCGGGCACTTAATGCATTCACTGTGCCTTTTCTCTGGGGTCCTCAGGACAGTCCCGTTTTGCTACCGGGAGCCCTTTGCCTGCAGCCCTCTCCCCCGTGCTCTCCTCCACAGGCTCCTCTGGGCACCCAGCCAGCAGTGGGGATTGATTAAAGGCAGCCTCGACCTTGGTGCCCCCACTCCCTGCCATCTTCCGTGCCTTTCATTAGGGAAAATTAAGTGGGAAGGGGGTGGGGGATGGGAGCCCGTGCGGCTGAGTTCCCTGCTTCAGGGAAGGAGGAGGCAGCCCTTTGTGGATGTGTGACCCTGTGGGGTGAGGGTCCTGCTGCCCCCAGAGAGGGGGAAATGAAGGGTTGCCCGGGTGGGGCATTGTAGCCCCATGCCTGTAGGGAGCAGTGGCAGAGTGGCATTGCCCTGACACCCAGCTCCCCATGATCCTCCCCCTTCCATCCCCTTACCCAACTGTATTGACTGGGGGAGGGCAGGAAATTGCCTGGGTGATGGCGATAAATCTATTGGGTGCCTGGCAGGTGGGCAGCGTGCCTGGGTGCTGCCTGATGAATTGCTTCCTATTAGCCCCAATGGGTGTGGAGGCTGCTTCGGGCTAGGGGCTGTGGGGGTGGGGGGGGGCGCGGGGGGTTAACAGCACAGCCTCTGCCTCCCACTCCCATCACCACCAAGGTGCTATTAGGCAGCTGTGCTCAGCCAGAGGGCCAGATGGCTAGGTGCTTTCTGGGGCGATAGAAGGGGGCAGTCTTGCTCCCCACTTCTTGCAGGGGGTTGTGCCTCCCCCCCTCCCTCCCGGAAGGACTTAGGGCTGGCTCTGCTGCTGGGGATGGGAGGTTGGTCCCTCAGCGTGGGCACCACACGGCTCCGACTGCCCACTGCATTTATTTACAGTCAGGAGCTGGCATAGGGCAGCCGGGCACCAGCGGGACCCGGCAGCCTATGATGTTAATTATCACCACGTAATTAAAAGCCAATAAAAAAGCCTCACACTTCATTAAATTAAAGCTTCGCCGTGCCACGCCGCCGCGCTCTGGCAGAGTTAACCTTGGCCATGCCAGGCCCTGGCACCAGGGAGGTGGGGACCCCCAGTGGGCTTTGTATTAGGGTGCAGCGTTTGGGGTTTATGCCTTACCCACACAACACCATAACACCGTTCATCACATGTGGGACGGTGCACACGTGCTGGGAGCATGCACCCCTATATCCAGCATGACACGTGAGCGCATCGCACGGCCACGTGTGACCCTGCACACCTTGCACATGCACCAGGATGTGGCCGGGGTGCTGATGCAGTTCCACACACACACTCCAAGACGTGCACACACACACACAGCTTGCTGCAAAGCCAGCACAACGCCCACTCGATGCACACCTACACAAACAGCATCCTTTCCTCCCTCCTCATGCACGCACCCTCTGCACCCCCACAGCTGCCCGTGTTCCTGGTGCCCAGGGCTGTTCCCAGTCCCAGCGCCCTCTGTCCCTGCTCTTGGCACCTCCAGCCCTTGGCTTACCCTGGGTGCTCCTCAGGTGCTGAATGGGCCAGTGGGACGGTGCCAAGCATTGGGGTGAGGGACACCCAGCAGCACTGGGGCAAGGGTTGGGGTGAAAGCACCCATCCGTGCCTCAGTTTCTCCAATAGCTGGGCTGTGTCGAGTGAGGGGGGCGCACAGAGGGACCCTTATCAGGACCCTCCCCCCCAGAGCACAATGGGAGCCTTGTCTGCAGCTATGGGAGGGCTAGGTGTGACGTTAAAGGCATGTGCATTGGTGTGCACGTAGATGTGTGAGCACACACATGGGCTGTGCACACGCGTGTGCACGGTGCTGGCGCTGGATGGGGCCGTGGCTGCGGGGTGCCCGCGGGGGTGGGCAGGCAACGGGGCCTCGGCTATTTCTTGGAAATTTTGCAGCATTCATTTCAGAGCAAATAAAAGCTGTCATTGCCAGAGAAATGATACTGATCGGGGTCTGAAAAGACAGCAAATTACCCGCCTGAAAATGCACCGCTGGAAAAAAAAATGCATATTAAACACACAAAAAGGCACTTTGCCATCAGCCGCGCTTCCCCCGCCGCTCCAGAATAACCACACTTTACATAATTCTCCCTCTCCACCTCCGAATTAATTTCACAAACAGAGGCAGAGGCAACCCTGTAACAATAGCGGAGGGGGGGGACGCAGGGATGGGGCTGCGGGGCTTTGTTCAACCTGGGAGGTGTGGGATAATAGGGCCCAGGCCTGGGCCTGGAGGGAACGGAAGGGTCTGGGGGAGGGAAACAGGTTTTTGGGATGGAGGGGTTTGGGTAACTAGTGTTGGGTAGATGTGCTCAGCTCTGGGGTGAAGGTCCACTGAGTTCCTCCACTCAGAACTGGGATGGGGGTCACTTGGGATAGGTATGTTGGGCAGTGCTCGCCCTGAGGGCCACATGCTTCCTATGGGGGGCAAACCCTCATGCTGCTATCACTTGTGAGAGCCTGGCATCACTGTCAGGGTGCAACGACCCAGCTGACGGAGACCCCCAGCAGCCACCCCCCCCTTGTCACTCTCCCACCCAAAGGGCTCAACACCCACCTGGCCTGACACAGCCAAACAATCCCCTTCCTAAGACCTCTCAAGGATCTTTCTGCACCAGTCATGAGGGCACACACTCACACCCAGCTGGGAGCGAATGGCGTTTTGGGGTCCCAGCGGCAGCGGGCAATGTCTTCAGCCATGTGGGCAGAGGGGAGGGTGAGCGATGGAGGTTGGCACTGTGCTGCTTTGCATTTTCAATGACAGACCCATGCCGGGTGCTCGGGAGAGTGGAAAAATCTTATTTGTCACCTGCTGGCGGTGCGCAGGGGCTCCTGCGCCGCAGCTAATCTCAGGGAAAATGAGGATGCTGGCGGGGTGGCCCGTGGGGCTGGTGGGGAGGGGGAGTCAGAGCTGGGGGCTGCAGGACCCCCAGTCCCACCAGGTTGGGCCAAATCAGGGTGCATGGCACAGGGCCACTGCTACCGTTCTTAAGGCTGGGGTGGGTGTGTGGGCTGTGGGCACCCCATGCGCGTCACCAGCCAATGCAACCCTTTTTCCCTCCAGCCCTGCTTTAGGAGCAGCCTATTGCTCTGCAGCACCAGCTCCACAGGTTGGCACTGCCCACGGTGTTTTTTGCTGGAGCATCACACTTTGCAGCAGGGATGGGTGCTGCCTGAGCCCCAGGATCTATCTACATGCAGTGCCCATCCCATGGTTGCTGTACCCCATTCTCTGGAGCTGCCACCCCCCAGGGGACGCCGCAGTGCTCTGCGGCCGGCTCAGATTTATCCATTCTTTTATATCCACACGCCTTTAATTTTTACGGCCCTGTTGGAGCAGTACCCACAGCTGTTAATAACATCGCCCCCCCTTTTCCTGCCTGCATCTGTCATGCTCCCACCAAGGTGCCAAGCGGGTCTGGGACCCTTCATCCTCCCCTGCTGAACAGCAGGGCTGGGCATCCCCTGCCCACCTATGGGTCTGGGTGCCGGATTCAGATGCTGCTGTGCCCTGTTGGGATTGGTGATGCCCAGTTGGAAGCATCTGATGGGATTCATAGAGCATGGTGTGAGGCCAAGAAAAGCGTCACTGTGTCACCAAGAGGTGGTGTGAGTGTGCATGAGTGTGTCCCATGGCTGAGCCACCAGTCCCCATGCCAAGCAGTGTTCCCATGCCGCACGGCACAGCACAGCACCTACCCCAGCACTAGAAGACCCAATGCTCACCCAAAGCACCCAGAACTGAGTGGGATGGAGGTATAATGGTACCCAGAAGGATGTTTGTGTGGGGCTGGGGGTCTGCAGCTGCTGTTTGGGCCATGCAATGGATGGGCCATAAATCTCTCTGCTGCCCCCCTCCCCCCCCCAGTGGCAGAGCAGCTCACGATATTTATGTTGGGGATTTATCTGCAATGCAGTTTAATATTCCTGGACCTTTGCGTGTGTGTGTGTGCGTGTGTATGAGTGAGCATATCCCCCCTCCCTGTGCCACCCCCATGCCCACTCTCTCTCACCTGGAGCCTCCCAAGCTCCATCTGTTGCCCATCCCATTGCATCCCCCCTGGGAAGACCGGACGGGCACCCGGGGGTGATCAGGCACCGCATGGGGGGGGAGGGGGGTCCGACAGTCGCGATGTGCCTAAGGGCAGTGCCCACCCTATGTGCCAGACTGTTGGATGTGGCACAGGCGTCCCCACACAGCGGTGCCAGCCTTGGTGGCACTGCCAACCCTACGCCAGTCCCCCGGGGCTGGGGGTCCGGGCATCCCCCCGCCCTCCCCTTGCCCTGCCTCCCCGCCGCCGGGGATGAGGTAAGGCAGGCGGGTGGCACAGGGCTGCTCTATTTGCATAATAATCTCGTTAATGGAGCCTGGCCTGCGGGAGAGACGGGCTGGAGACGCCACCCCCTCCCCGCCCCGCTGCCTCCCTCCCTCCGGCCCCGCAGCTCCGTTCAGCTCGGCACGGGGCGCGCAGCCGGACGAGCACCGCCGGACCGACCCGACAGCAGCGCCGGGGCAGCCTGCAGACATCTCCCGGCACGGCGGTGAGCACCTCCTAGGCACCCCCGGGCAGCCCCCGAGCATCCCGGGCAGCACCTCAAGAGCATCCCCAGCAGCATCCCCTGAGCATAGCCTGGAGCAGCCACCGAGTGCCGCGGAGAGCAAGAGGGACGCGCCCCCGAGCACCCCCGGATATCCCGGCGAGCATCTCCCGAGCAGCCCCGAGCACCCTCCCGCAGCCTACCGGTGAGCATCCCCCGAATATGCCGGGGAGCATTTCCCGAGCATCCCTCGAGCATCCCTTGAGCACCGCGGCGAGCACCTCCAGAGCATCCTGGGCAGCATCCCCGAAGCATCCTGAGCAGCATTCACTGGGCACTCCCGAGCATCCCATGAGCAGCCCCCAAGCATTCGGTTGAGCATCTCTCCAGCATGCCGGGGACCATCCTAGGGTCCATTCATTCCTTGCAGCCCTTCCAGCCCACCTCCCCCCCAAAATTCTGTGCTCACCGCTCACCCCACAAACTTTCCGGTGGCAGCAGCAGCCACACAACCTTTCCCCAGCACAGGGCTGTGATGCCCAGGCACAACTTCACCTAAGTTGCTGAGAGGGAGCAGAGGCAATGGGGCTTGGGGGTGCTGAGGGGGTCCTGCTGC